AGGGTTTTGTAGACAAGTACTTAGAAGTGATTTCTTTAGTCCATCCTTCTCATGGCATTCTGGGACTTCAGCTTGCCCAAAGCTGCACAGGTCGCTGAGCAAATAACTTCATCAACCACACAAGCTCTAGCTCTGGATGATCTCAGCTGGCCCCCGTCCCAGGAAACACAGTAAGCATTCAAATTCCTGGCTCCTGGTACTCTGACCCACCAAAATATACCAAGCATTCCCTTTTTGGCACAGCTTAATTTGGAAAAAGAATTCCTCCCCACCCTTTTTTTTTAAATTGCTCGTAAAGGTAAAGGTTCCCCTTGACCATTTTTTGTCCAGTCATGTCCGACTCTAGGGGGCAGTGCTCATCCCCGTTTCCAAGCCATAGATCCAGTGTTTGTCTGAAGACAATCTTCCGTGGTTACATGGCCAGTGTGACTTAGACACAGAATGCTGTTACCTTCTCACCGAGGTGGTCCCTATTTATCTATTCGCATTTGCATGCTTTCGAACCACTAGGGTGGCAGGAGTTGGGACAAGTGACGGGTGCTCATTCTGTCATGTGGATTTGCTCTTACAGCTGAAGATCTACAGACCTTACAGCACAGAGGCTTCTCCAGTTTAACCCACAGCGCCACCACGTCCCTCTTAAGCAATTGCCAATCAGAAATCTTCACCTCATGTACTGCAAGTTAAGAGAATCCAGTCTAAGATCATTGGGGAATGGTCTCAGGTATTAGTGTTCTTGCTCTCTAAAGTCTTATTTATACTAATGGTGCTCAATTAATTAATTTGTAATAGCCACCACCAGTCCTTGACTTCTGGCACTGTTATATTCATCCAAGCTATGTACCTCTGATACTGATTTCTTCCAGTTGGAATTAAAGGTTTTCAAAAGTGTGACCCTAGAAGCAGTTATAGCTGGCCATAAGCAGAGACAGAACCTGTCTTTTCCCTGGGTGAAGTCTACAAAACATGGGAAGGCAACACCTGTATAAGAAGAACTGCACAACTGTATAAATATAATCATCATAAAACAATCACATAATTAAATCAACAAATTTAGAAATTCAAGATGGAGACAAAGGAAAATTAAAAAGAAAAGAATCAAGTGTTGACTGGAGGGAAGGCCTGCCTAAAGAGCCAAGTCTTTAAATGACTCTTAAAAACACCCAGCAAGGAAATGTGAGAATGCATGTAAGAACAGACTGTAAAGTCCAATTTTAACTAACTATTATAAGGGCATATATTCAGTACAAATATAAAAGCAAAAGGCTGTTTAAGAATGTACAGTTGTTTACTGGCCAAAATCCTGGAAGGGAGACTATTAGTAATTAAATACTTCCTCTTTCAGTTCCAGGGTTCCCACAGCTTGCATACAATAGAACTGATTATACGTTAGTTCAACAAGCCATAGGGTAGAAGTAGGAAGTCTTTAATTATGAAAAAAATCTCTATCCTGATGATTGTATCATCACACTTTCATAACTGTAAATTGCACAAAAGGATTTTGGCCAGAAAAAGAAAGTCAGTACAAAAACAAGTGCTTTATCAAACTGAGAAATATGAAACAGGACTTCCAGATAAAAAATATTCTGTTCTGGTTTTCTCCTTCAATCTCAGTACATCATATGTCATCAGAAACAAATCACAGTGAACTCCGAAGTACTCAAACTGAAAAGAGGTAGCCATGTTTGGCCAGTGTGTACTCATCAACTACTATGATATTTATATTCTGGATGTTACAATCTCCTTTTGCATTCATCCTCACATTTTTGTAATAGAACACAGTTATGTTCTTCTAGTACTTTGGTTCTTTCTTGAAAGAAATCTGAATGGACTTCATGTCATCACTGGCAGAGACAAAAGATTCTGGTGGACAGGAGATGGGGGTATTCGTATTTGTATACAAATACGAATATCCCTGCATAGCTGGACTTGACAGGGGTCCGGCCCCCGTCTACTCACGGGTCCTGCTGAAGTGGTGGCCCCGCTCATCCTTTCAATCATACCCAGAGTGCTACTGTCTTCCTGCTCAGGTGGCCACTCCAGGCAGGGGGAGGGAAGATGAGTCTCAGTGCATGGCTGCCAAGTTGCTAGCCAAGCGGGAAGAGAGCAGCACTCTGGGCACAACTGGGAGGATGAGTGGGGCTGTTGCCACAGCAGGACACATGAGTGGATGCCCCGGGGGCAGGACACTCATTAACTCCAGCTGCATGGTAATATTCGTATTCGAATATAAACACATCCATCTCTAGACAGGACTAAAGCCCGGCTGAGGCTAATCTACTCTTACTATTCTTTCTCCTTCTTCATCCCCACTTACACTGAAAAGGAAGGGACAGCTCACTCTTGAAGCCGAAGGGTTTAGAAGATCAAGCCAAGGCCCATATATGTGATCATAGGGATGCCAGATGCCCACCTCACCCCTAAAGTGAGGGGCCTATCATTCAATACATTCAGATCATTCTAGATTTTAATGCCATGTCCAGTAGGGGGGAGTTTATATGAAAGAAACCTACACATAGGCTTGGCAAGCTACTACCAATCAGAGCAACCAATGTTATGGGGACAAAGAATTTCATTGGGGGTATAAGCAAGTTCCTATGTTTCAATTGCTTCATTCAAACTTCAGTAGTGTTGCCCTTCTTCACACTGAAAAGTGACCCAATCTCCACCTAATGGGTAGACAGGATCCTAGATATCTCAACAAATTGTGTCATTTTCCGAATGTTGTAAGAATGCTCTTAGCGGTGTAAATGTCTACAAATACACATACAAATACTGAAACATTCATTTATATACTTATACAAAGAGAGATTCGTTTTGAGAGGAGACTACACATGGAATTTGCAAGAAAACACATCTACATACATGTTGAATGTATATTTCAAGGCCTTTTCCCAAGGTTTGGGTTTGGCTGTGTTTTTTAAACTGAAGATTAATGTTGAAAGCAAGCTAGACAAAACCATTGGTAAACATCCTGGTGTTTCTAAATTTTACTGAGGTGATTTTACAAACTGGATTAATAACTGAGGAAGGCTACCTAGTTTATTTTTAAAGTGAAGGTTTTTAACCAGATTGGCATACAACCAATGCCAACTCTTTTCTTTCTGAGAGTTCTCCCAACATTGTTCTTATGAATATCAGATTCTGCACTGATGTTACTGGTATTTTCTCCCACACACCTTCCATCTAATATTCACCTTATCTCATTTCATCCACTGCTTTTCCCCCATTGCTATCTACCCTTTTTTGATCCTCCCTGAAACCATGGTTTATTTTTCAAACAGTGCTGAGGGCAAGGCTGAAATGAAGCCCCTCCCATATGCAGTTGATGTCTGTAATAAAACCTCTGGTTGGAAGCTTTCAACAGGCACTCCAAAAGAGATAGGTAGCTAGAGGTACAATTTCTACCTGAAAATGAACAAGAACTCATCCTTCTTCATTTCACTTGTGGGTAGCAGACATAATAGCAGCACAAAGCAGACTGCAAGGCATATGCTGTTCTGTCCTACAGCATCATGACTGCTTCCTGTGCATCTGCTGCATGGTGTAGCTGCCTCAGTCTGCCTAATGGGAGGTCAAGTCTTCCACAGGAAAAAAACCTCACTCAGAACTGTACAAAGATAAAAGAGGGGAAGTGATGTAAAAGGTATTCTTATAGCAGTGCACAAGTTCCACTGTGCACATTTTTTATTCCTTTGAAAACAGCAGAAATGTGTGAGAAATATCAGTACGAGAATTAAAATTTAAAAAATACAATATTTAGCCAGAAAGCGTCAACATTGAATGTAGAAGAGGTGGGGGAATGGAGACCTGATTTCCCCTCACCCCCACCACAGCTCTGGACGAGACAAGTATTTTTAAAATATGTTTCTGTGGCTAGGTTCAACTTTCAGGATGTGAAACAGACAAGATCAGCAGAATGAAAACTGATGTTAAAAACAACACTATTCCTCACTTGATGAAGAAGGGACTAGATACAAATATATTGACTCACTGGGGAGCTTCTGAAACTGATGTTAAAAACAACACTATTCCTCACTTGTCCATTTTTTTTTCAAAAAAATGGCTTGATTTTGAATAGTTCCCAGCCCATCTAAGTCTGTAGTTATTGTAAATGTTTGTAGATACAAATGTTGTGTTTCCAGCAGAATGTCAGTTGGTGGTGGAGGAGGATGTCAGGTTGATTGATGTCCCTGTGTTACAATGGAGCATCGGAGGAAATGTCAGTAAAAGCCACCCTGAAGTTGTATATGGAGTGTTGGAACGTGACTGAGGAGATGTAGTTCAAATCTCCTGTCAGGCAAGATGTTTTCTGACTGAAGGCCAGTTTTGCTCAACCACCTTAAACTTACCTACCCTGTGAGGTAGGTTCAGCCTAATCTTCCAGACAGGGGATTAAATGTTCTGTTGTATCAGAAAACATCTTTTATCCCTTCTTTCCCCTGTATCCCCCAGTTCTACTCAGAAAGTAGCTCTCATATCTCCAGTAGAGGTTCTTGAGTGCCTCAAACAGTGGGAAAGAAATATCATCGGTTGATTCCACTGACAAAAGCAATTCCAGTAGCAGATGTACAGTGCTGAATTCTAGTCTGGGTTGTTGCATGTAGAAAAGGACCTAATCCCATGCACGTGGTCTTCAGCTGATGAAGAAGGGACTAGATACAAATATACAGTATTGACTCATTGGGGAGCTTCTGAAACCATAGCCTTGCTAAACTAAGTAAACATAGTCTTCAAAGGTACTATTTAAGCTAATCTGATATTTGTAAAATAAGAATATGTTGCAAATAAATAAAGAATGCCTTAGTCGTCTCTTCTAGCTCTGTGATTCCATGTTGCTGAAATTGTTTTTCTGGGCTTTGTTTTTGTTTTCACTACACTTTTTATCAAATGTTGGGCTGAAGCACATGATCTGCACGTACTAGCCACAAACTACATCTGTGGGCAAGTCTCTGTTTATCTGGATGACTTGCAAAATGTGGGCCTATCACTAATTTCACTTTAAACGGAAACAGCAGTTAAAAAGAGACTTCCGTGGAGGATCAAATGCACTTGCTGTGTTAGCTGAACCAATGGGAATAAAAAAAAGACTTGCTTCCCCCAGACTGAACAGACCTGTAACCAGCACCAAATAATGATCTCAACTGAGTGAGAACTTGTGGGTGAGAAACCAGGCTTTGAAGGTGCCTTATGCAGAACTGAGGAAAGAGTGAGGCAGAATTCAACAGACCACTCGAGAGTAAAATGGAGAATCCATTGATTTTATCCCCTCAGCTAAATACTGCTTCAAGAATAAGATCACTGTATAAAATAATGAAGTCCATGAGTAAAGATGGAGGAAAGACAGAAACGAAAAGCAGGTAAGGGGTTTTTCTTGTCAGTGTATTAGTATATTACATGTTTTGGAAATGTGAAAAATGGTAATATATTGAACATGATGTGTCTTCTCTCACACATCCAGCTCAGATCATAAATCACTTGTGAACTGGAACTCTGAAAATAGGAGGGAAGGGTGGGTGCATATTAAGGAGTGCTGTTCATTGACCTTTCGTGGCAAGAAGTGAGACGTAAGAGGATGGATCATGACTTTGTTTCTTTACAACAAGATATTCTTGTTCCAAACACTCAGAAAATACTAGAATACATATTTACCGTAGCTAAAATAACAGTCTCTAGACATGGCTTAAAAGATAATCAATGTGTTTTTTTTTTTCATAGTATACACTTTCACAACTGGTAGCCCACTTTGTCAAGTGTATGGATTTGAAATTTCACCATAGTATCTACATGGGTTTAGGTTATTATTATTTTTAAAGGAAGCCATACACCAAACCACAGTGAGACATGGATATTCGATTGAAAACAAATTAGCTTAGCCGCACCAAGCTGAGCAGTGGCTTATATAACTGTAACCCAAAGGAGATTGCAGTTGACATGCACAAGGCTGATCTGGACCATACTGGGAAGACACTGTAAGAAAGAGCAATGCCTTAAGTGTTAAGGGTTGACCATCTGGAATCGCACAAATTTTGCTGAACATCTATACAGTGGACCCTTGACTTACAGACGGCTTGGCTTACAGACTTTTTGAGTTACAGACTTCTTTGGCTGCAAAATTTAGGTTTGACTTGCAGACTGAGATTTGACTTACAGACCAGAAAAAACCAAAATGGAACAAAAACGGCCTGTTACGGGATTAATCGGTTTTCAATGCATTGTAGGTCAATGGAGACTTGACTTACAGACTTTTTGACTTGAGAACCGCCTTCCAATATGGATTAAGTTCTCAAGTCAAGACCCCACTGTAGCTTGCAAATCAGCTTGTTTTGTTTTGAGATTGGTTACAAGGAGCCTGCTTGAGGTGTATCCTAATTGCTCAGGTGCAGTACTTAGAGAGGGTAGTGTGGCAGAACCCATAATGTGTTTTTCTTCTAATGCCAGGCTGACTATAGCATCTGATTCCATCCATATTGACACTAAATATAGGACTCATTGCAAGTATTTATTTATTTTATTTTTCTGGCTTTTACCCTGCTCATCTAGATTCAATGAATCTACTCTGGGTGATTTACAGTCTGAGTATAAAACAAAAATTAAAACAACAATATCAAACAACATAGAGATACGCAAAGTCCAAGATGGTAAGACATAGAAAACTAAGAAATGGAGGGACGGAAGGCCTGCCTGGAGAACCAAGTCTTCAGCTTGTTCTTAAAAACTCCCAGCGAGGGTGCCAGGCGAATCTCAAGGGGCAAGGTGTTCCAGAGGTGAGGGGTCACCACCAAGAAGGCCCAGTTTCTAGTCCTCTCCTTCCGGGGCTCTCTCAGGGTCAAGGCCCTCAGCCACCAAGCCTGGCTATATCAAGGAGTAGAGCTGGAGCAGGCGAGGCGCTCTGTCAGGTGTTGAGGTCCTAAACTGTTTAGGGCTTTATATGTAAGCATTAACACCTTGAAGTCAATGCATAAATGAATGTGCAACCAGTGTAAGGTTGCCAGAGTGGGGAAAATGATATGATATTTTTTCACTCCAGTTAATAATCTGGTGGTCGTGTTCTGGGCCATTTGTAGTTTCTGCATCAATCTCAAGGGCAGCCCCACGTAGAGCACATTACAGTAGTAAGGCTCCCCTTCCCTCCCCTTCTGCTACTATAAGGTATTCAGTTCACTTAGGTAAGGGCAAATAAAGCTTAATCAGCTAGCTGTAGTTAGGACTAACATGAAAAGTAAACATTTCTAGATACTTGCCATGGCACATATAGCAAGAGACCTATAGAAAATGTTTGGAGCCCCCTGGCCTCTCTTGCTTCTCCTTCTGTCCTTGGCTGTTCTGCCACACAGTGAGCTGAATTTGAGTTCACTAGTGGACTCAGTCCTCTAAATAGCACTCTAGGAAAATAAGGAAGTTAGTACCGTATTTTTCGCTCCATAAGACGCACCTTTCCATAAGACGCACCGATTTTTTAGGAGAAGAAAACAGGAAAATATAATCTGTTTTCTTCGCTCCGTAAGATGCACAGACTTTCCACCCCCCTGTTTTGTGGGAAAAAAGTGAGTCTTATGGTGCAAAAAATACAGTATTTATTAGTATGCTAGCTTTGAGATACAGAATGCTTTTAGCTTTGCAAGGTAGTAGGAATCATAGTTCTTACTAAGGTGAAGATGGAAGGAGCAATAATAGCATGGATAGAGCTCCTCCATCTCTAACAATGGCAGCAGAAGAGGAAATGTTAGCAGATGTAGCTCACATGACAAGGCATATATGCTGAAATTCCCTCTTCCACAATTATTAAAAGTGCAAGAGCCCTTTTCTCCTTCTCATGCAGCCACTTGAAGCTGTTACTTCCTGCCAACCTCTCAGAATTAAGAGATGTCTCTATGCCAGAGTGTCCTGAGTGGGTTCAAGTGTGATGGAATCAATTTGCTCATGAATTCCAACCAAAAGCTCTAGGCTCCTGGGCACTCTTTTGGTTTAAGGTCAGCAAGGAATATTTTCATTGAGAAATACGTAGTTTCTACTTCCCTAAAGGCCAGCTCTCATAAAGGTTTTCAACAGCTTCTTTTAAATATAGTCAAGGGCCACTTTGTTGTTGCTCTGAGCTTTTATCTGACTTCCTTTTTGTCATCTCTGTTGGCAAGCCAGTCATTTGGGGGTGGCGGTGGAATTCTAAGCACAAAGGCCCAGCCCTCTCTTAAGCCACAGGATGGTATAAGAAATAATGTTCTGCACAGTCCTTCAGAGCTGTAGCCATATATAAAATCTGAAAGTTAGAATGCTGTGTTGCCCCTCTGTATTCCAGCAATGTTCTTGTTATGTCTAGCAAACTATACTTCTGCATGTCCCCATTCTTTGGCTGCGCCTGTTGTTAAATACCCAGTCAGACAAGAAGGCCTAAACAAATACAGTGGTGCCTCGCTTAACGAGCGCACCGTTTAACGAAGAATCCGTATAGCGATCCCTTTTTGGGGATCGCTATACGGATCTGCCCCAATCGCCGCACTCGCTTTGCGACGATTGGGGCGTCCGGCGGCCATTTTGGAGCCGCCGAACAGCTGATCGGCGGCTCCAGAATGGCCGCTGGACGCGAAAACATTGCTGGAGGAGTAAGGTTGGACGCTTATTGGAACACATTAAACTAAGTTTAATGCGTTCCAATAGGCTTTCCTTGCCCGCACAGCCTATACGGGGCACCACTGTATTACCACTATTACCTCAATGTATCTTTGAGGTTTAATCTTCATTAACTACCTGTGACAGCAGGGCATGCTAGTGTGGAGACAAGGGATGTGTAGTCCTTCAGATATTGTTGAACTATAGATCCCAACATTCCTCACCATTGGAACTTAAGGGAGTTGAAGTACAACAGGTAGAGAGCCACACATTCCACATTTTATGGTATTATGAAATAACAGAGGCTTCTGTAATGTTAACTTACTTATTTTCTGTCAGGATACATTGACCCTAACCATCAGTTTCATTGGTGGACAGTGTAAACAACATTTTCTGCATCCCACTTTATTCATATCCTATCCTTAGCAATGCACACTACAAGTTTTAAAGAGAGAGATTCTCATTAAAGTTCATGCTGGGGGCTTGATCAGATGGGCATCTTGTTGTCTGATGTGCTATGAGACTGGGTTGGTTTTCATTTTAGTGATCAGACATTCTGACAGCTAAAGTGAACTAATGTGTTCCCACAGTGCCTCTACGCACACCTTTTAAAGCCCTTCTCATTGACTTCTTTCTTTCTTTCTTTCTTTCTCTCTCTCTCTCTCTCTCTCTCTCTCTCTGTGTGTGTGTGTGTGTGTGTGCATGCGTGCACACTGATAGGTGCACTCTAATTTGGTCCATTTCCAGCACTCTGAGAATGGACCATACTTGAGCTTGCAGGTGTCAAAGCTGCCAAAGCTCCTTCCACTGTCAATTTCTAACATTGTGAAGTGAGGATATTGCCAAATTGAACTCTCCCCCTGCTCCTCTACAGATTTGTTTTGCTAGACCATCACTGATGTGCTGAACCACTTAGATTAAATGTTTTAAACTATTTTTTTCTTTGCGTTTGTGCAAAGTGCTCATTGAAACTGTGGCTCTAGACAGTTTTTCAACTGCTACTACACACAAGGCAAATAATTTTTTGTTTAAAAAAGTAATCTAAGTGTTTCAACTCAACAACAATAATCTAGCAAAGGCAAAAAACCAACAATGTCACTTCCCTTGCCCAATTTGCTGTCCTGAAGTGGCTCATTTATTAAGCCATTTCATAATACAATTCACAAAATTGAAGCAGAAAGTCTGACTAAATATTGTTGCCTGAGGTCAGTATGTCATTTGGATGTAAGGATCATACCAAATGACATGTCACCCCTTACCTCAGGTGGCCCTATTTAGACTGCACCAGCCTGATATTGGAACAAACTAACATGGCTATCCTTTGGAAAATCAGAAATACAGGAAATTCACATAGATATATAGATATATGTATGCAAACAGTCATAATTAGCTTTGTTATATATGTTCCCATAACCAACCAGTGCATGCTAATTGAAAACTGGCTGATAACAGCAAACTTGGTTTGAAATCAGACCACCAAATGCTGTGGGGAGCTAGTGATAACCAAGCCTCCATCCAAATAATAATAAAAAGCAATATTGGTGTGTTCATTTTCACACTTCCATTCATCTTAGCTGCAAAAGATACAAAACAATGTGATAAGAGGTCATTCATTTATTGTTCGTCATTTTAAAAACATGAATTTCCAACTTTGTAGGGTTCTTGATTTTCCATTTGTTTGTTTTGTCCTTGTCAGTAATGTTTAGATAGCTTGAGGACTATATAGACTTAATTGCATTAAACTGAGGGTTTTCAGACAATAAACCTGGTCATTACAATAGGCTTTTTAAAATGATAATGTTTAGAAAAATGTCTTGTCTAATTCCACAACTACATATTCTGATGGCTGTACAGACCTTATTGAAAATCCCAGCCCTTCTACTCCTCTACTGGTGTTTAATGCTACAAGATGCCATCATGGGAGGTACGATTTCTACTGCCTACAGACAATGAACTGTAATGGGAGTAGGGGAGCTTCAGTTGTGATCACATTATATCCTGTCACACTATCTTTCTACTCCCCATCTTTCTTCTAGTAGAGAGATGAAAGGCAGCTTACAAAGGATTTTAAAATATAAGTATTAAACATTTTGGATTATTAGTCATTATAAAGGAAAAGGGGAGGTGACATGGGATGGTTCTTTCACATCACAATCATGTCTGATGCTATGTCTAGTTTAATTGGTAGCCCAGAAGCTTTCCTTTTAGTTAAGTTACCTGTTTTCTTTTTTAGTAAAGGCCCTGCCTTGCATTAATAAAGCCTTACATTGCTTTGCCTTTTTTGAAATAGCATCAGAAGATCTTAGCCCTCTCCTTAGGCTCACTAAAATTAACTCTCGCTCCCTTTGCATACATCTTTTGCTTACAGTGCCTATGTGCAAGAGTGTCAAAATGAAAAGACTTTCATTTAACCTCTGCAGATAATTGTGCATGTAAATGTATGCAAACGTATAAGAGAGAAATTCATTATTCTCCATAGCAAACATGGGAGAAATAACATCAACATTAGTGCAATCACATATGAGAAGGAAGAGTTTGGCTTTTCCAAAATGTTATGCTCTGACAAAAGGGAAGTCTTTTAAAGTCTTTTGCAATGATGACATGCTGTGGTTTAAAATTTCTTTCAGGAATCCAGAAAAGAGGAACCGTCTAAGTCTTCTGCAAAAATCTGAATTGTACCCAAATGACAGCCTTGACAAATTTGAGACATTGATCAAGACTCCAAGGTAAGCAGTATATACGTGGGTGGAAAATAAAGAGTAAAATTGCCAAGAAGAATTGTATGAAGGAGCAGTTCATGAACCGGGAAGGGGGGCTTGCACCAAAATGTGCAGGTGCCCTTTTTTCCAGTCAAGAACTACCTCTACCTTTGTTCCATTCAGATTTTTCTTTGGCATAGGTATCCTACACTGCTTTGCATTCCAGCCTTTCTGAGTGATTAAAAAAAATCTCCATGGGGTGGATTTGTAGGAACAGTTTCCTTGTGAAAAGTGATTACCATGAGCTGCATGGCATTCTTAAAATGCCTGTCTATTTAGAGACTGAGTAGCTGGGAAGCATGGAGTACATAATGAAGCCACATGATACTAAATGAACCACAGTTCAACACAGGCATCCTGCACTGCTTTTTGCAAGCAAGACATAGGCTTCAGACTGTTCCTTGCTTCATGGCTTCTTTCAAAAACTGACTCAACCTTTCCTTCATATCATAGTTTCCTTTTCTATCTAATTATAGAGGTGTGACATCCTTCACTGGTCTTGGCAGCTGGGGTAGCTGCTGTGAGGAGCATAACTGAGCCAAAACAGAGTCTGTTTTGAACAAAAACTTTTTTTTCTCTTGAGCAGAGTTCTTCTCTTCTTGAAATTATGAGAGGCTCAAAAGTCTGCACAGTATTACTATGTGTTCATTAGATGGATTAGTGGTCAAGAATTAATGGCCAAAACATGGACGTTGTCAGGTAAATTATCACTAAAGAAAAACCTTGATATGATTTCATGGCCAAAAAGAGGTGGAGAGACATTTAGATACTCTCTCTAAAACACTGTATTTCTCAAGATCAAATATATGACACTTAAAGTCCTCAGAGCAACATAAGACATAATTTTCCTTGGCGGATGGAACCTGTGTGGTCCATCAGCTGACATTTATGACTCATAGGGTTAATTCCAGTGGGAGATCAGATCAGATCAGATCCCTTTTTCAATCATTTGAATGTTCATCTGGGTAACAAGATACAAGTTTTTTTTATTGCTGCACTCATGGAGAGGTATGTTGTCCCTAGACATCCACATTTTATTCATTCTACTTTTTCGAAGCAGAGAAAAATGATCCCAGCCAACTTCAACTTGTCAACATCTACAGGCTTTATTTATCTAGCTGCTTCTACATTCCATATGCATAAAATGAAATCCATAAGAACTGAAAGCAGGATATCCAGACAGACATGAAAATTATTTAACAATATTCTCGCCCAGTCACATGACTTTGTTTGAGTGTCCTATATTTGACCTTGACATTTTCCTATCAAAAACATTCATAAGCAAACATCCGGCTCTTGTAGGGACATTGAATTTTATTACTTGGAAGCATTTGCTCTTTTTGTTATAGGTTACCTTATGATTACCCTCATAAGCTTTTCACAATATGTGAGATTTTTAAGGAGTTTTGTCACCTTCTAGTGAGTTTGCGTGACTGACCAAAGATTTGAATGCAGATGTCTTGAATTCCAGGCCAACACTTTATCCACTGTTCCACACTGGATGACTCACAAAGGAATTCCTACTCTTATCAACCTGTGGATCATTGATAAGTCCCTTCATCATGCTTCTTTTTCATCAATAGCATGATGATAATCTACAAAGAGGGAAGGAGGACTTCCTTAACAGTGGTGTATCTCAGTTCTGGAATACTGTCCCAAAGAGGTTTGCATGGCATCAATGTTGTTATATTTTAGAAGTCAGGGGAAGCAAATTTTATAGCCTCTCATGTAAGCATATACTTTTACGTTCTAACATTTTCCAAGTATCTCTCTGTTAGGAATATTGGTGGGGAACTATAAGACTGGAAAGAGGCAGAAGAAATTTAGTGAATGGGAAGGGGAGGTGGTAATTGGCATTTAATTAGCACTGTGATACTGCCATAACATTAACTAGTAAAGGAAGTACAAAGCTCCAAAAACTGTTGTGTGGCTCTCCCACAGTACAGTGGTGCCCCACTTAATGATTACCCCACTCCACAACGAAGCCACTTAACGATTAGTTTTTTGCGATCGCTTTTGCGATTGCAACACAATGTTTAGATACGAAAAAAACGCTTTACAGTGATTGGTTCTCTGCTTCGGGAACCGATTTTTCACTTTATGACGATCAAAACAGCTGATCGTCAGGTTTCCAAAATGGCTGACCGTTGTTCAAAATGGCTCCCCGCTGTGTTAGGGACGGATTCTTCACTGTACAGGGAGCAGAAAATGGCCACCCTATGGAGGTTCTTTGCTGGACAAGCAGGTATTTTGCCCATTGGAACACACTGAACGGTTTTCAATGCATTTCAATGGGCTTTTTTATTTTGCTTGACGACGATTTCGCTCTACAACGATTTTGCTGGAACGGATTAACATCGTCAAGCGAGGCACCACTGTATATCCAGCTGGTGTACTTCCTCAATTATCTATGGAAGGACACTACAGGAAGTAGGCTGATGGGGAATGAATTACCAACTTCAGAGAGCAACACAAGTATGTTTTCTTTAAGATAAGGATAATTCCATTGAAATAAGGGTAGCCTTGTAGTCCAAATAAAATAAAATAGAAATGCAAAAATAGGTAATCACTTTATAGAGCACTAAAAGAAATCATCATACAATACACAGATGTTGGATACTACTCTAACATCTGACACCCTGTGTGGCAATATATCAACAGTTAAACAAACAAACCAGTGAACAGACATTGTATTATGATCAACGTGCTAGTTTTGCTTGATATTCTTTGCTTGAATGCCTGATCTTTTTACATCCCATCTCCTCTTCAAATGCCTTTCAGTGATTCAGGCATTCAGGCCTGATTACTAAATTCTCCCTCCACTCCCACATCTTCCTTACATCTCATTTTCCCAAGTCCTTTCTGCTTTGGGTTTTTTGCCTTTCTGTGCTCTCTTGTCTTCCTGTCTCTTTCTTCTGTAAAGAGTTGTGCCTGAAAAATTAAAAATGTTTTCTCAGAGCTTACTTCCTTTAACATACCATGCATATCCATGACTTGAACTGAAACTTTGTGATATGCTCTGTGATATCTATGTTTGTCATGTTTGTTTTCAGTTTCTGCTCCAATATGGCTTTATTCTCTACCATGGTTTCACTGATTATCCTTTAGAGCAGTGGTCCCCAACCTCGGGCCTCCAGATGTTCTTGGACTTCAACTCCCAGAAATCCTGGCCAGCAGAGGTGGTGGTGAAGGCTTCTGGGAGTTGTAGTCTAAGAACATCTGGAGGCCCAAGGTTGGGGACCACTGCTTTAGAGCACTGGTTTCCAACCTTGGGTAACTCAGGTATTCTTGGACCACAACTCCCAGAAACCCTAACAAGCATAGCTGGTGTTGAAGGCTTCTGGGAATTGCAATCCAATAACATCTAGGTTACTCAAGTTTGGGAACCTCTGCTTTAGAGCCGTTTTAGTATTAAAGTTCCCCCTTTGCAAAATAGGGATATTATTTTAAAATGTCTTTTATGTACTTAAGAGTGTGTGTGTGTGTATGAACTTATACACCGGAGAAGGGCACAAAACAGTGGTCCATGCCCATTTCTTGTACATATATGTGTGTAATACATTTCTCTTCATAGATGGTTTATGATTGACCTTACATACTGTTCTCTCATTTTTGTGCACCTTTAGTTCTTTCTTTGTGCTTATGGTATTGTTATGGTTTGAATTGTGTTAGCTCTCATATATATTATGTGTGGTTGGCTAGGACACATGCAATAGTTATACATTTTATATAAAGAGGACATTTTTTGTGTACACAGCTTTGAGACCTCCATGAAGATTGTAATCTTGCTGAAACATCTAAAACAAAAATCCACTCTGTCTTTTTTTCTAATTTTGAAGAATCTGCATCCCCATTTCACCCCCAATTTGTTAATTTGACTCCCATCATCTCTGATAATTAGGCATGCTGCTTGAGGCTATTGATAGTTGAAGTCAAAAAATATTGGGAAAGCCACATTTTCCCTACCATGCTCTGTGACCTCTTTGTTGCTCCTATCTGTTTCCCACCCCAGTATCTCTCTGCTGTCTCCTCTGCTCCAAACAGTCCAGATTCATTTTGCTGGCTTCAGATGACGAAAAAATAATAATCTTCTCCTCACATCATTCTATCTGTCCTATAATGCTCATTGTCCCACAAGGCTCTAAAAAGTAATCAAGGACATATTCAAAAAGATTGTTTCTCAAACTTTGAACCAGAAAAATGAATGAGATCTGCTTCCCTTTTTTTTCATAAACTACAAAGCCAGAGATCAATAAACCTATTCCATAGTTTGATTTTAAAAAAAAATCTTCTGTACCTCCAAAATAAAGTAAAATAAAACCCTGTGCTTCAAAAAAAGCATGACATTTTTTAAAAACTTTTGTTTTGTTTTTGCTGTAGACAAAATGACAGGCATCATGTGTTAATGCTGTTTAGGGCCATTTCTTTCACATCTTTGTTTCTGTGTACAGCAGAGAGCTTCCTGTATACTTAAAACTAGCATGTGGTAAGGCAGGGTCTATTTGAAATCCCATTGTGGTGCAAGCAGTTCACTTTTGCTTCCAAAGCTTTTGTATTTTTAGTAAAAAAAAAAATTCACCACTGAAAAAACACAGCTGACTACACTGTCCTATGATCTCTTTCATACACAATAGTTCAATTTTTCATGAAAGATGGAAGAATAGAAGAGAAACAACCAAGGGACAATATTTCCTTTCAATTCTTTGAACAGGGAGGGAGGTTCTTTGTATAATTCAATAGGGAAAAATGACAACAAAATGATACCACCTGTTTTCGAAAGCTCAAGAGGGAGAACTTTCTTTTGTAAACTAATCCAATTCAACACCCTGTGAAATATGACAAATTGATAGCAATAGGAGGTAACAGATGTTAGGAAAAGACTCAAAAGTACACACTGAGCATGCTTCCTCTTTTTCTGTCATCAGCAGGGAGTCCCCTGACACTGTTAAGAAGTGGGGTGAGTCTTTTGACAACCTGATTACACAGAAAGGTTAGTATGTGTGCCTTTCACCTGGCATTATGCTTTACTGAAGGTCTATGTCTTTCCTTTCGTTCTGCAAACCAGGGATCGAAACATTTTGTGCCAAAATGTCTCATTACTATTCTTCTGTGGTGAAGGACTAGTTGTGTACAAAGTTAAGGAGACTATTAAATGTGACTGCCCATGAAAAATGGATTGCTGTGAGAAATTGTCTGAATTCTCATCAGAAAATATACCTTGGAAACTTAAAAAAAGTTACTGAGGTACTCCAGAAAATGATCCAATGTGCTATACTTCCCAAAGTCAAAGGGAAGTACAGACATTCCACGGCATGGTGAAGGCTCATCAGAACATTTTAAAGAAATGCAACCACCTCAGTGTATTCACCACTTGGGCCATAAAGAGCTGGGGGTAGATGGCATGGAAACTGAACCAGAGTTATTTCACAGACGAGTATTAAAGTGGAGTTCTTATGTACTGTTGAGCATTCAAGTCATCATACATTATATGCATTTTATATTGTATTCTTATAAGATGGAACCTATGGCTTGTGTGGGTGTGTACCATGTCCTAAACTTTTCTGCTACAGTGCCTTTAGACATCTCTACAGTGAAAGCACATTGCCATTTATGCTGGTTTCAGATTGGCACCAGTGCACACCATAGCTCAGTGAGTTATGTATCTGGCTGTGGAAACAGAGGTTGGAGTTTGATTACTCACCATGTATCCCAGTAGAAGACCCAAGCTGCACAGTCCAAGGCATCCACAGGAGAAAGGAATGGCAATCTACTTCTGAGTACTTTGTACCTAGAAAACCAGAAAAGAATCACCATAAGTTGGAATCTATTTAGTGGTGTAACTATATTATTACTATGCATGCCTACATTTGGATTAAGGGCAGCATGTAAATGTCAACATCACCATGCAGAAATGAATTCATGTTTTAGAAAGGAAAAAAAATCTGTGAATACCTGTACTGCAATCAATATAATGTTACTTGTGAACGGAGTAGAAATTAGCTACAATTTTTTTTTCATTTTCTCTTCAACTTTCCATTGTCCTCCTGCAATATGTTCTAGTGTGGATTTTGAGCTAATAGATCCACCACTGACATGATAGTCTGCCTCAGACAGTTGCAGGAGAAATGTAGGGAACAACAACAGCCACTCTTTGTGGTCTTCATAGATCTCACAAAGGCGAGGGATGGCCTTTTCAAAATACTTTTAAAATACTTCCTAAGATTGGATGCCCCCAGGTCCTTTCATGAGGAAATGAGGGGCACCGTAGTTTTTGAGGGCTCAACATCAGATCCCTTTGACATCTGAAGCGGCGTGAAACAGGGTTATGTCCTTGTGCCAACCCTGTTTGGGATCTTTTTTGCTGTCATGCTGAAGCACGACTTTGGAACTGCAACAGAAGGTGTCTATCTCCGGACTAGATCAGATGGAAAGCTTTTTAATCTCACTAGATTGAGAGCAAAGACCAAAGTCCAACTGAAATGCATGTGGGACTTCCTCTTCGCAGATGATGCAGCCATTGTTGCCCACTCTGCTGAAGACCTCCAACAACTCATGAATCATTTCAGCAAGACCTGCAAAGACTTTGGACTAACAATCAGCCTGAAGAAAACAAAAGCCATGGGCCAGGGTGTTGACTCACCTCCCTCTATTTCCATCTCCACACAAGAATTGGAGGTTGTTCATGAGTTTCTGTACCTTGGCTCAACAATCTCTGACACCCTCTCTCTAGATGTCGAGCTGGATAAACGCATTGGCAAAGCAGCTACCATGTTCTCTAGACTCACAAAGAGAGTATGGCTCAATAAGAAGCTGACGACACATACCAAGATCCAGGTCTATAGAACCTGTGTCCTGAGCACACTCCTGTACTGCAGTGAGTCCTGGACCCTTTGTGCATGGCAGGAGAGGAAGCTGAACACCTTCCATATGTGTTGCCTCCGATAGATTTTTGGTATCACCTGGCAGGACAAAGTTCCAAATAGAGTAGTCCTAGAATGAGCTGTATACATTACTGAAACAGTGACGTCTACGTTGGCTTGGGCATGTAGTGAGAATGGCTGATGGTCGCATTCCAAAAGATCTCCTGTATAGAGAATTAGTGCAGGGAAATTGCCCCAGAGGGAGACCACAGCTGCAATACAAGGATATCTACAAGTGGGATCTGAAGGCCTTAGGAATGAACCTCAACAGATGAGAAACCTTGACATCTGAGTGTTCAGCCTGGAGGCAGGCAGTGCATCATGGCCTCTCCCATTTTGAAGAGACACTTGTCCAGCAGGCCGAGGCAAAGAGGCAATCCTGAAAGCGGCAAAATCAGGGGGCTGGACAGGGGACAGATTGTATTTGTCTTCAGTGTGGAAGGGATTGTCCCTCTCGAATTGGCCTTCTCAGCCACACTAGACACTGTTCCAAGTCCTCCATACAGAGCACATTACCATAGTCTCTCAAGACTGAAGGATGCCTAATCTAATCTGCAATAGGTATCAAAAAAATAAGGGTAGCTTCTCTTTTCTTCCAGATTTTCCTATATCAAAAGCTGGATTTACAGTATATATCCCTAGCACTTGGATGAGTTTTCAATGAAGGAATAAATTTGTTTCCAGATTATACATCTTCAGATGTAAGAGTTCAAGTAATCAAATAACTGTCTGTACAAAATCTAGTTCTCTCCACAAACCAAAACTGATATCTGGGAGAAAAGCTCTCAACTTCTATTATCCAACATGGAACATTTATTATTTCTGTATAGTATTGGGATCATCGTATCATGTCAGCCTTTACCTAGGATATCATCAAATGATAAGAAAGCTGAAAGATTTTGTTTGGTCTGCAATTCAAAGTCAGTTGTCCTGATCCACTTTCAGAGTAATGTGTGAACTATTATGCAGTTATCCTTTGGATCTTCTATTTTTACAATACACTTCTCAGCTTAGAAGAGATCTTAAAAACATATAGGAATCTGTATTATAAAATACATTTAGGAATGCACACTTTAAGAGAAAATATGATAACTAGTAAATTGTAAGAAAATGCAGATTTAAAAACGTATGTGTGAGCTCTGCTGACCCTAGCCATGCCTACAGGGGTTCCTTCCTCTATGCCTCAATCCATAGACAGCATCAAAGGTAGTTCACCACAAACTGGTTTACTGCAACTGGGATGGGGCAGCTAAACAAACCACTCATATCAATCTTCAGGTTAGCTGCCCGCATCTCCTTCAGGTGTGACTTCCAATCCGAGGCCCCTCCAGTTAGCATCACTGCAAAAGTCTCAAGTCCATTTACTCCTGGTGGGTTCTCCATGTCAATCAGCACCTCAGTGCCCACAGCAAGGAGAGTTTATATGCCTGCACTGAGGGCAGCAGTGACAATCCCAGCTTCTCTGGTTTTGTTTTCTCTCTGAGGTCTGACACTGTTGTTCCTGTTGCTTCTGTCCCCTTCGGTGTCATAGCTAGATAGCAGATGGCTCTCCCAGCCAGGGTTTCTGGGCCCAGTGCTTTTCTACCCAGTGTTCCTATTCTCCCCAGTAATGAAGTCAGGGAGGGGGTCAAGAATTAAGTTGCCCTCTGGCTCATCTTTTGGCACTCTCAGTTGCACCAAGACCCCAATTCATACATACTTATGTATATATCCCCAGCCACCCAGTGGCTTCAATTCATCTGTAGAAGACATTATCAGGGTCTTCTAGGGATTCCCCCCAAGCTACTCTTCCTCTGTCTCCTCTACCACCACATCTGGGAGTAGGTCCCCTGTCTGGACCCCTTGCTCTCCTTCTTTCCTCTTGATGCCCTCTGTTGCTCTGCCTCCAACACCTCATTTATATCCTGCAGTTCCCACAATCCCTCCTCCCCCTCCTCCCCCAGGGGTTGCTCTTCCTCACCCAGGTCCTCAGCCAGCATCTTCTGCTCTGGGGCCTTCATCTGGGTTCCCCATTCTAACACCTTGCGTTCTTTGGTCATGGGTTCTCCCAGCACCCATTTGACCCAGAGAGAATCTTTTGAATTTTGAAATTCCCCAAACCAGGGAGAAGGTGAGACAGCCCACCCACAGGGACACCTGTGTCACTATCATCTTCCTCACAATAGGCAAATGCAAATGTTCATTTAGTTTTGAAACTTGCAAATCAATGCAGAAACTAATTGACATACGCATGCATGCAAAACTGCCACAGAAGAAATATGTCCCTCCCCACTGCTCAATGCAGAAACTAATTGACATACGCATGTATGCAAAACTGCCACAGAAGAGAGAGAGAGAGAGAGAGAGAGAGAGAGAGAGAGAGAGAGAGAGGACACACAGGAAAGGACACTGTCAAAAATAAAGGTATGGGAGAAAAGAGAGAAAAGAAAGAACGCAAAGACAAACTATTTACTAGCACTTCAAACACTAACAGATTTGTTTCAGCGTGAGCTTCTAGGGATGAAGCACAAAGCACAGAGAATACAAATAAGTGCCCCATACAAAGCAATGGGTACTTACTGGGGTTTGGCAGTTTGGCAAGATTTGGCAAATTAGGCCCACAGGTGTTGTGTGGGCACTCTGAATCCGTGCCCTGACTTCTCCCACAGCCTCCCTATCAGAAGCAGCAGCACCCTGCCACCTCCTGCAGGAGAAGGCAAGACACAGAATCTGGGGTGTCCACACAACACCTGTGGGCTTGATTCACCATCGTGCGCTGAACTGCTCAACCATGGTAAGTGCTCATCTCTATTCCCATGACGGTGTCACATTGAGACAAGGATATGGATAACAGTCAGAGCTGTAAAGATTTTTTTAAATACAGGAATGGGACTGTCAAGCTGTTAATCAGTATACTCTAGCCAAGATTATAAGCTGTATGGCAGGTAGACTCTTGTTTATGGGACAGAAGTCAGAATCTGTCAAGGGAGACAAATATTTTATAACATAAAATATTGCAAAAGGGTGGGTTATTAATACATATATTGCACAAATAAACCTTTATCACTATTTAGGTCCTTCGATATGCAGTGGAACATGTTCCTGTACTCAGCACAGGAAAGGATGCTTAATTTACCTTCTTGTTATTAAAAGTGGTCATAAGACCAGATAGGCGGGATGTAAATAAATAAATAAATAAATAAATAAATAAATAAGCTATGAACTTTTCCAGGATGGCTATTCAGAATGAAGAGCCACTCCAGAATGCTTTGACCTATTCCTTTGATCCATGTAAACTGCATCTGCTCTTCCTCAAGTACAAATACAACGAAAGAAACAAAGTTTAAGGAGATATGAAATAGGCTGGTACCACTGAGAAGATGGCACCACTGAGAAGAAATCTGAAAATAGGTGTTTGTGTTAAAACTATAGTGAGGGAAATGTACTTTTACTGTAAACATTTGACATTATAATGGTGTTTTGTCTGTTTTTATAGCTGGAATAGATGCGTTCACAGCATTCCTCAAAAGTGAATTTAGTGAAGAGAACATTGAGTTTTGGATGGCTTGTGAAGATTACAAGAAAAGCAACGATATGTCTCAACTCCCACTCAAAGCAAAGACAATCTATGAGACGTTCATTGAAAAAGAGGCTCCAAAAGAGGTACAGTGAAAATGGTTCCACTTGTGCCTTCTCTCTTGTCTCTGCATATGCATAGCACCACACCGACCTTAATTAGGAGTGAAGTTCTATTCAATATAGGAAGACTCAAGGATGTTGACAAGTCTTTGGGTTCGAGTCCCAAGTCTAAGTCCAAGTCTTTGGCACCAAGTCCGAGTCTGAGTCTTCGGTCCCAAGTCTCAAGCTCCGAGTCCAAGTCCCTATTGAAAACTAGCTTCCTCCCTAGAAAAAAAGGGAGTGTGTTCTGAGTTGCAGGTCAAACCTGGGTTATTGAAACAAAAAACACAGAAGTTGAGTCCGAGTCGAGTCACCAGTGTGACTAAAGTAAGAATTGACAGTGAGTCCTGTGACTTGAGTCCCCTTCCCTGGGGAGGCTTCCTTCTAATTGAACGTGCATTGTTCATCCTCATCTAGATTTTGCTGCTTAATCTTCTCTGGACTGAGCCTACCATTTGAAAACAGCCCAGAAATATTATAGCACGGTCAAGTAGATATTGTATTTATGTGCCTATTTTTGATGCTGGTACATCAGAATTACTCTTCATCAGTCTACTAAATAGATAATTAAGTACTATCACATGAAAACAACGACTGTTATATTGGCAAGAGAGGAGATGATAAAACTGAATGAATAAAACAAATCACGAGTTTAAATACAGGCTTCATAGTAATAATCATAACAGTCTAAGATGCCAAAAAAAAAAAAAAAAAGATTGAGTGCAGATTAGTTCCAAGAGGCAGCACTGAGAATAGCATACGAGTGACATGTCACACACCTGATGTATGGATCTAGGTTCTCATTTCTCTTTCATCAGCAGAGTGATCATCATTCTATCAAAGACGTTGTGTGGGGATAATGTTATGAGGATCTGTATGTTTTCAAATAGGTTTTTGTTAATTTGGAATTTATTTATTAACAAATTAATGAATTATAAACAGTAATAAATTGGAATTCGATAATGTCAGAGGAGATCCACATCTTTTGCTCTTGAACCCATCCTCCCAGCTACAGATATAAGCAATGTGCAGGCATGTGTCAACTCCAAGGATAATTCCTCTAGTACTACAGTAAGGTTCAAATGCTTCATAAGGCATGGAGGACTAAGAGGACAAAGTGGGTATCTTTCCTGGGGCTTGTAAAGCCCTGTGTGAATCCATGGAGGTTTAAGTGAAATAACATGCATCTTGATCATTCCTGATGACTAGTTGCATCTGTTAAGGCATCACCTGGCTTACCTTCTGATTTCCTGGCTTTGTGGAACTTGAGTCAACACGAGAGAGCTTTTTCTCATGCTAAACTGGCAGTTGTCTGTATATTTTAAAAATATACTGCACTGACAGAGACAAACCACACCACTCTCTGCTACAACCATCACCATCTGGTCTCTGTCAGAGGTGGCTCATCCATCTATTGACAAGTATGGTAGGATAGTATTCCCCCAGGGCAAAGACCTCCAAGTATAGCATTTGGTCTGTTTGCCCTTGGAAGCCAAGCCAAGTGCTTCAGCTGCAAAGCATCATATACATACCAGAAACAAAGAGATACATTTTCTCAAAGGCTTTCGCAGCTGGGATCTGATTGTTGTTGTGGGTTTTTCAGGCTCTGTGGCCATGTTCTGAAGGTTGTTCTTCCTGACATTTCACCAGTCTCTGTGGTTGGCATCTTTAGAGGACAGGAGTAGGGACTCTGTCCGTGCTCTGTTGCAGTTTTTTTGATAGTTGAGTACAGTATTTATAGCTGTCCTGTTTTTGTCTTTTTTTGGATAGTTGAGTATTTATAGCTGTCCTGTTTTTGTCTCAGACAAAAGCTGTTCCCACAGCTATAAATACTCAACTATCCAACAAACTGCAACAGAGCACAGACAGAGTTCCTACTCCTGTCCTCTGAAGATGCCGGCCACAGAGACTGGTGAAACATCAGGAAGAACAACCTTCAGAACATGGCCAAAGAGCCCGAAAAACCCACAACAATCATCAGATACATTTTCCTTTCCTTGTTCTGTGAGATGGGAGAAGGTAAGAAAGGTGGTTCTCAGGTTACTGATGAGATGGAGTCAAACCTTCCTGTAGCCTTGTGGATGTCAATGTGAGACATGTGCTTAGAGACTGGTGAAACATCAGGAAGAACAACCTTCAGAACATGGCCAAAGAGCCCGAAAAACCCACAACAATCATCAGATACATTTTCCTTTCCTTGTTCTGTGAGATGGGAGAAGGTAAGAAAGGTGGTTCTCAGGTTACTGATGAGATGGAGTCAAACCTTCCTGTAGCCTTGTGGATGTCAATGTGAGACATGTTGTGCTCTTCTTTCCCACTTGTATAGTCTTGTCTATTTTGCCCCACGTGGTTGACAGGAACCACTGAAAAATGTAACAGTCTCTTTATATTGCCTAGTCCAATTTCATGGAACGAAAGTCCATCACTGACTTCTAGTCATAATGACTATAAGCTACCTCCAAATTATTGCTTGTACACTTATGAATAGCAGGTGCTGGGAACACTGCAAGCAGTGCATTGTGAGTGGTGAAGAGCTTTTTGAAAGCATTTTTTTAGAGACATGGGTGGGAACCACTAGCCATCTTGTACATTTAAGGAAGGGAAATGGAACATCTGGGCCAAATTGCATCCTTCCTACTCCAAACTGGCAGTAAATAGACTGTTTTCAGAAGGAGAATATTTTGAAGAAATTAGGGATAATGCATCTCACCCTTAAAGATAAGATTAAGCCTCAATCTCTGTGTGTGGCCTAGATCCACAGTACCTGTGTGGAAATTTGGAGAGTAGGTAACCCAAGGATTGTGTGTGAATCTTGAGAACTACCATAATTAAGTTCTACTTTACCAGATATTGGGTTTTCCCCCACCCCTTATTTTCTTCTAGGTCAACCTTGACTTTAACACCAAACTCTGTACTAGTGAGAGCATAAGTCACCCAACACTCCATACCTTTGATGCTGCACAGACCAAAATCTATGCTCTGATGGAACAGGACTGTTACCCACGCTTCCTGAGGTCCAGCTTTTACTTAGATGTGCTCCATGGCAGACCTCATGGCCACTCTGCGCTGAGAAGGAGATCACGCTCTTTTACCTTCAATGAATTCAAGGATGCCCAGCCAGATTTTTCCATTTGGCTATAAAAAAAAGTCTTCCTTTGACTTTGCCAGTCAGAGTTCATCTTCTTACCAACAAGGGGGGGGGATCATAATCTGAGGTGGATGACATAGTGCATCTTTACCAGTTTCTCAAGATTTGTATATAATTTCATCTGATAATGTTCAAAGGTCTTTATTTTCGTGCATTGTGTGGATGGCTTTTTTATTTTAAGGTCAATTCTATCCTCCAGAGAGTAGTTTGATAGCCATGAGGGGTCAGATACCAAAAAAAAAAAACTGGCACTGCAATTTTGTGTCCACAGGGTGTGTGCAGTCAGCCATAATGTCCAAATACATTATATACATACCTGTACATTTATATGTCACATAAAAAGCCCAAATAAGATATGTGACTTTTGGTTGCAGTCCTATACCCACTGAACTCAAGGAGACTTATTTCTGAATAAATAATGGTAGACAGTGGGCATATGTTACTATCCAATCTATAAGTTGCCAGTTGACCTATCCTTACATATTATAAACCAATGCACAAAATATTAACATGTTGAGTGCAAAAATCTTCATACTCTACACTTTTAAATACAGAAGAGAAAACAGTGATACTCTACATACGCAACTTTGAAAGATGAGTGAAGAAACCCTACTTTGCATGCCACATGTGACCAGGAAAAGATTGTGACTGCAGTCTTAAGGGCATTGCATTCATATGTGGAATGACTTCTGGCAAAACCTGGCAGTGTTGTAGTAGAATGAGTAGAGAGACCGGTAGGGTACAACTGTGGCCACACTGCTTTGGGTAGCAGGGACAAGATGGTGATAAGACTGAAGAACCTGAGGGTGGATGGTCGATGAGTCTGAAGAACTGCTCCAAGCTGGCCAAATTAGCTGGCCAAGTTTAACTGAAAATATCCATTCTCAAGGAGACTGCAGAAAATAAGTTGTCATGGAAACTAAATAATTAGGCAATTGTATCTTGATATGGGGTCATGTGAGGAAAATGTTCTCAGCTGGAAAGAACTGATCATAGGATGATCAATAAAGGGTGTAATAATCCCACTACCTACATGGTTAGGAACTGACATAGAAGGACACATCTTAGGGTGGGTAGTCAGAATGCTGATTATGGCTTTGAAAATCTTGGACGTGGATTTTGGTGGTTTGTTGCAGCGTCTAAACTGTGCTTCCATCCCTACTCAATCTGTTTGTTTTTAAATAAACACAAGTATTTTAAAAAATGCCAGTAAAGTTTTGGTGACCTCTTTCTAAACAATATCAAATCTTAGAAATGGCAGTTCTTACTCCCTCAGTAAGTGGGGTGATCCCAACATTACGAAAGCTAGTTCATTGTTCCCATCTCTTTAAGCATTTTATGTGCAAAATAATCTATAAATTTACTGCTTTCATCTCCAAGAAGAAATAATCCAAGCCTTTCACACATATCAGTAGCAAGTATCATGATACCCCTCCAAAGCTAATTCTGTACCCCTCATGTCCCTTAGAATCTGTGCCACCAAATTTTGCTCCCAAAATATGTGCTGTCACATGGGGGTAGTGGTCACACAGAATTCCCATTGAAAGAAAGTGTTTTGCTTGCTTTTAATTTCAAACAACAATTTAAATTTCTTTAAATTTTGTGCATTTCTTATTAATTTCTTCTCTCTCTTGTTCCTGTTTGAACAGAGGATTTCTTTTTATGCATTCAGATTGCTTTATGCTTCAAACAATGCCTAGAGAACTTGTTGAAAAACAACCATGACAATTGCTTTGTATTTGGGTGAGTGGGGCTAATGAAAAGCAACAAAAAAGAATTGGGTTTTGGAGATTTTTCCCTTGCTTTTTGTCTGTCTGAACAATAATGAGCATAAATGGGCATCCTGTAGACGATCTTAACTTGTGACATTAGCATCCTCGGCATTCAGCCTGACCTTTGAATATAAATCTTGACATCATTTTTCCTGCTGGCAATGCAGGCATGATATTGCAAGGCAGTATCATACTGTTTCCTGGTGTTTCAAATTGTTGACACACAAAGTATATGTCACATTCATTAGGCAGAGTTTTTTTTTAAAGGATTGAACTGTTTGGCTTTCTGAAACAAAAGGTATCCACTTGCCCACAAATAAGCCCTCCTTTACCACAAAGAGACAGTCCCAAATTTTATCGGGATGCTCTTGTAAGATTGAAGGACTGGAGAGAAGAGGGTTTATGGGCCTGAAGGAGTGCTTCAACCTGGCCAAACTGACCATCCATTTTTAGAGAAATTGCAGGAAGTATGTTGTCATGGGAACCAAATAATTAGGCAATTTTTCTTGATAAGGATCATTTTTACATCGTTTTTCCTGCTGGCAACACAGCCATGAAATTGCAAAGCACTGTTGGACCATTTCCTGTTGTTTTGAATTGTGGACAAAGAAGAAATATACTACACTGAATTTCCTGGCTTTTTTTTAAAAAACAAAACATACTCTCTTGCCCAGAACTAAACATCATTTACCTCAAAGAGACTTCCTGCTGTTAAACTGAATGGGGCTACTTGGCTTCCTCTATCTAAATACCTGAGAAAGTGAGAAAGAAATGGCGGAAGGGATACCTGAAGCCAGAAATGTTCCAGGTAAGCTTTTTTCTGTCTCCCATTCTCTCTCTGGCTCTTCTTTCTCTTTTCCTGTATTACTTTGCCCGGAAATAAAGATACAACACAGGTTGTTGGGCTAAAACTTGGGCCACAACTTCATTAACTATTTAAACAATTCCCCATCTACAAGGGGGCCTAATGTAGTGCAGTACTTATCCAAATCCAGTGCAGCCTTTACCTCCGGATTCCAAAGCAGGGTGAGTTCCTATTTCTGAATCATGCTGTCTTCCAACCAGCACGTGTTCAGGTGCCCCATGATAGGGGTACCCCCCACTGCCTTAGTCCACCAAGCCTCATGACCCTAGGTGAACTGCTGCCCGGGAAGCTCCCTTTATAAAATGCCACCTCCCCTCAGAGCACTGCTGGCTCCACCAAACAGGGAGATGGGATATTTTTTTCTGCACCATGTGTCCTCCAGGAAGTCATGAAAACTCTTCCCCTTGCACTACCCACCATGACAAGAGGCTATTCATATGCCCCATGCCCACCATCACAGCCGGAAAGTTTGGCCCCAGGGCCCCCTTATAGATTGTGCAGAAAAAAGTCCAGTCCCACATCAGACAAGTGAACTCCATCACTCCTATATAACTCTGGTTGACAAACTCTTATACCACTGACCCCAGTCCAGCTCTTATGGCTCTGCATACTTCATGGTTAACACCGCAACATGCACGGTCAATGCACTTTGGATCACAATCAGCCTGCCACACCATCCTTGGTATAATGTTTGACCTAATCAACTTTGTTGCAGGAAACCTGGCCTTAAAGGCTTGTAAATCATTGATCACCTGTAGTATAAGTGACTTGCCCATTGTTTGAGCCAAGTAATATCCTCCCAAGTGAACAACCAATATATCAGGGGGTACATCTTGAGTACCCTAGGACACCAGTTTGAAGAACCTGCCCCAGAGCATATCTCTCCGTCCCCTCCATTCCAACATGGCCTGTGCACCAAGGCATAAATTATGGCCCCAACCAGTCTGCAAAGTGTACTTCGCCATCCATTGTATGTAACTGACCATACAAAACAACTCTCAACTGGGAGGTAACCAACTTGAATCCTGAAAAAAACCCTAAACAACACCAGAATCTATTGTGGGAGAGAACATACATATGTCTTGAACATTTACAAAGACCACCGTCCCATCTTTTTAATCTGCTCCTCCCAATATCCTAGAGCTGCTGCTATGGATGCTGCTCCTATGCAAAAAACTGAGTGCCAAAATTCCATCCCACTATTCCTGCTTCCAGAAGCCCCCGGGCAGTAACTGTTCAAAATTGGTATCTTGTAAGGGGTGAGTAATCTCTGTGGCAAAGTAGATCCCCTGCTGAAGTCCCCTGCATCTCAACATATTTGGAAATGGCCCTAACCAGGCATAACTCCCCAACCAGGAACAACACCCTAAACTTATAACTTGTCCTATTCCTAATTGATCAGTCTTGGACCAGCAAAGATGGAACAAGACCCTATCTTTGGAGACCAGTAAGTCATCCATCTGAAACACTGTCTTTGAAATGTATAACCTGAGGGGTTAACTATAGCTGAGGAGAATGCTGAGCAATTGGAAGCACAGACAGCTGAATCGCCACCAGATTCTTCTTCCCCAGTAGCCAGGGTAAGGGCCAGACTACAGCAAAGACTCATGATGCAAAGGTCAGAGGATCGCCTGAATGCTGCCCGCAGAAACATTCGTTCAGCTAGTCCTGAGTGTTGACAGGATGAAAAGGCTTCCAGCAGTTCAATGACTGTTTTGCTATATAATCAGTTCCCAGACAGCTGGGAAGCTCTTGGAAGCAACAAGTCAATTCCTCTGGCTCATATCCACACTCCTGCTCATCTTGGACTTTGTTTTCTGGACCCTCGGCTTTGGACTTCAGACTATGTTTTGTGTTTTGGCTCTGGCATTTCGGTATCTGTTTTGCATCTAATGGACTTCTGACATTGGACTGGTTTATTGGATTTTTGTCTGTTAAAACCCCTGGGAATGTGACATATTGTAAGGTGACTGAATTGTCACAATCCTTCAACAAACCCTGGCATTTGACTAGGTGAAGACGACTGTGGGGATCTCTTCTCGGCCTTTTGTCTAAGATCTAGTATCTGTTCTTATCCGTTTAATATCTGATATCAGATATAGACCACTGTGGATAAGGTGCTGTCCAAGGCTTCAAAGTCGGTACAGGCACTTCCAATGTAGGTGAACCCCTTTCTATACTGGCAGACATTAAACTAGCCATCATCTGAGACAATACCGATGGGCTAACTTCTCCCCAAGTCCACATCCCTTCTATGTGTGTCGTGTTTGATGTTGATGCCAATTCACCTTCCACTGGCAGTGCAGGCCCTGCAGCATTGATGGAAGGCACCTCTGACACTTGTTGGGTAGGTTCTGCTGAGGCACAGTCAACCACAGCCTGTGTACTGCCAGCACTCCTGCACCTCTATGGGTCTGCTCTTCTTCAACTGTCTTCACCATCTGAGTATTCTCAATGGCCTGGGGCTCAAACCTCATGTCCTCTTCCATGTCAGGATGGCTGATCTGCTGGCTGCAACTTGCTCCATCCGCTGAAGATGCTCTTGCAGAACCAGTACTCTCCTTCTCTAAAAGAGCAATACACAACAATGTTACATCACCCAACTGTCACAATTCTGCCATCCTGTGAGCCTTGGATTCCCTACACAACCTTCTCAGTGTAGTGGTACTAGCTACATTCCTAGCCATTCCCCTTTTTCTTTCCAATTCATTCAACTTTGCCAGTATGGCACTGTATTCTGGCCACTCCTCGTCTTCAGATGAAGAAATTACTGGAGGTGGTTTGGCAGGGGCTTTATGTTTTTCAGGCTGCTTGCCCTTACCAGAACCTATATATACATTAATATTATTTCTTATTCCTAATTCCCACTTTAGCACACTCTCCCTCCTGTCTTCTATCTCTCTCTCTCTCCTCATGTCACTCACCAATGTTTAACTCAATCCCTACATCCACTGACTAACTTATCTGAACTTTGCTCCTTCCTTCACCCTATCAATTGTATTATTATTTAAATTCTGCCCCTACTCTTTCTCTCTCTTTTCTTTTAAATTCATCCAATTAATTTCTTTTATCTTGTAAGGGCTTCCCACTTCTTCACTGTTCCCCCCTGAATCCCCAGAATCTTCAAACCGCAGGCTGCGCTGTTGTGCAACCTGAAAAGTGGGTTCCCAAGGCCAGCTGTGTGCAGGGAAAGTGAAACTGCTTCTACAGAGCCACATGGCTTCCCTCTTGCTCAGCCAATCGAAGAAGAGGCCAGGTGAGAGGGATGCTGCCTCTTGAAGGCTGTGTCCATCCCCCCTCCCCAAGAGAAGCATCATCATGCTGTGATTCCAATCTCTGGGTGGGAGGGAAAAGCATCCCTGCCACAGCAACGCTATGCCTGGCGGAGCTGACTTTCTGACTCTGTTGCCTCTTCCCACTCTTCCATGAGGCCCCTTCTCTCTCTTTGTCACCTCTCTATCTCTTTTCTGTCTCTGCCTCGAGGCCCCTTCTCTCTCTTTGTCACCTCTCTCTTTTCTGTCTCTGCCTCCTCTCTCCCTTTCTCTCTCTCTCATGATTCCTCCCACTAGATC